AAAAAATAGAAAAGTCTAGCAGTGTAATCCTCCATAGGCTGAGGCTATTATCATAAACGTAGTTTTTTGAAAACTGAATAATCCTTACTATAAACTTTTGTGACTTGCTTTTTTCACTCGACATTGTTGCTAAGATTCACCCATAGTTTTATGTACAAACTGTACCTTGTTTTCATTGCTTATAATAAATATCAAGTTGTGTTTTATTACTCTCCTAATAATCAGTGGGACGTGGGCTGTTCCCAATTTTTGGCTTTGATGAACAATACAGATCCAGATATTTCTGTACATGTCTACCTGTGTATATGCGCGTAAGAATGTTTTAACTGTAAGTCCCATCAGTTGGTTCTTAAACCTGTTCAGGAACTGGTAGCAGCCACTCTTTAAGTGAAAGAGAACAGAATATTTTAGAAATTAGCACAAGCCTTAAGGAAAAGTATTATTTGTTGAAGATTTTCTGTCCTAAACATACATGTGCATAAGAGTGTTGGGTCTCATTGGCAACAGTGTGCGTTACAGTCGAAAGTTGAAAACCACTGCCCTCCAGGATAGGAGTGAAGCTGATGAATAAAAGGGGAGGTTCACCTTCAGTCTTACCAGGTGATGTCCAACTGTTTCCCAGCGGCTGTGCCATGCCTGCCCCTTACCATTAGTGCAGGCTCACAGCACACTCACTGAGCTGTTACCAGTCTTTCGCCTACTTTGCCAAGTATACAGTGGTGCCCAGTCGTGCCCTGCACTTGTGTTTCCTATTCTGTGACAAGCCGCTCAGATTGTCTCCCTGCTTTTCCATTAGGTTACCCTTTTCTTAATGATTTGAAGTTCTTTGAATAGTCCAGTTACTAATCTTCTGTCAACGTTATGCTTTATAAATATATCCTGAACTGTAACTGCCTTTGTATATTATTTACTGTATTTATGTTCTTTCAGTAAACAGAAGTCCTTAAATTTATGTCGTCAAAAATCTTGCTCGTATTGCTGGCAGCTTTTGTATTTTAAGAAGGCCTTCTGTAATTCAAAGACAAAGATATTCTTCTGTATTTCCTTCTTAAGGTTCTAATGGTAGTGTTCATAGTTCAGTACCTACTTTGTCTGGAATCAGTGTGTTTGAATGTATGAGGTGGGAATCCAATTTATCTTTTTCAAATGGAAAACTTGTTGACCCATAACCACTTCACAGCTAGCTTATCCTTTCCCTGCTGATCTGCACAGGCACCTATCTCTTCTGGATTTCAAGCAGCCATAGACTTGTTGATGTTTTGGGATTGTTTTAGT